CAAATTTAGTGAAAATTTGAATATTTTATATATTTGTGTTTAGGATTTCGGCTGTTATGTACAATAAAGTGAAGTAGAGGATATAAAAGATTATATCAATTATTCATTAAAATATTTGCCTCAATATTTAGAGATTTCATAGTGAATTCTTCAAGTACCACTGAGTCTGCAGACATCATCAAACATTTAGAAACATATACTGCTAGTTGACTCTGTGATGAGTTATTGTAGGGGCAGAGAAGGATTATCAGATTTAATTTTTTTCCTATGACATTATCTACTTGAAAGATTTGGGCTCATAAGGTATACACACCAGAGATTTAAAAATTCCTTTAATGTGTCAACTCACATTTTGAAAATCTGCTTTGTGTTGGAAAGTGGGGACTGTTTATAGGTGCTTGGGTTCAATAGTTTCTTTTTTTGTGATGTGGATTATGGGGAGAAGATAGAATTTAATAAATCACTTAAAGATAATTATGCTTTTAAAAAACAATATTCCAGTTATGTTTCATTTATGCATTTTTATATTTAATAAATACTTGTACCTACTACACGCAAGGGATTGTAATAAAAATATTGAGGATTAAGTGATAAATGAGAATAAAAGTATATCCACTTAATCATGAAAGTACAAGATACAGGAAAATAAGCCCAAAGCACAATTAAAGTGCTTTTGGAGTTTAATGGATAGAAGGAAATTTTAAATTTGGGAGGTTGTGAAAGATGATTATAGGGTATTTGTGGAATTTATTCATTCACAATGTAAATGGAGGATTGATTTCAGGGAGAGGTTATCAAGCAAAAGTAGAAGGTGGTATAGGACAGGAAACACATGGAAATGTGTTTTGATGTTGGTTTAAGTGAAAGGTCTTAGAAAATAAGCTGGAAGGCAGGGCCACTTAACATCACTCAACTTTATTTTTTCTCATCTGTGAAAAGTGAACAATAATATTTAGGAGGACTGAATGAGAGAATGCATGCATGTTAAGTACTTTGGAATGGAGTTTGGCATAAAAAATAAGGTGTCAATGCATTTACCCAACAGCCACATATTGGGAAAAATGCAGAGATAACTTTTTTCACAAAGGATTGGAGGAGGGACATGATGAAAAAATTGATCTCTTGGATCTGGGTGCCGAGGAGATGTTTGCCAGGAAGGAGAAGGGGAAGACAAGAGGATTAGTTGTATGAGGAGGGAAGATGTCAAATTCAGTTTTTAGGTACTTTGAAAAAGAGTGGTAGAAAGTCTAGATAGAGTGATCTAGCTATAGCTAAGTGGTAGTTATGATAGAACTAGAGCTCATATGTAGGGATTGCGTAGGTAAGAATGGTAGTTGAAGTCATGAGATTTAAAAGCAGTACGAGTAAGGAAAAGGAGGAAGGAAGGAAGGTTCAAGCACTGATGTGGAGAAACAACTGTATTTGATCTTAAGAGGATGAAAAGCAGTCAGATAATAATATAGAAGAGAGATGAGGATGTAGGGTCACAGGAACTAAAGAAAAAGGAGGTTTCAAGGGCCGTGGCCAAGAGGGAGGTGGAGTATCAAAGGCTGGCAATAGTTTTGTTCTGTGCATACATTGACCACAGCTCCAATTTTTAGAGCTTTTCAACATTTTCCTCTATAGATACCATCCATTCTTACTGTCTGACTACCTGTAATGCTTAAGTCTTCTCTTAACATTGAAGTCTCTGTAAGCACTCGAGTCTTGAAGCCAGGGAGTTTCATTTCTAACAAATAGAGTAAATGTGATCCTGTTGGAAAAGCTTGAAAAATTGTGTGTTCTCTATTAGACAAATTCCTCTGTGTCTGTATAATTAGATTTATGCTGGTCAGAGATTATAATATATATTTATTCCTAAGAGAGATTTTCAAATAAGGATTAAACTTTCTGAGAACAATCTGTTTTATTTTACAATGATTTTAGGAATTTGTTCTTTTAAAAAATTAGGTATTGTTTCAAGTGATTTAAAGCTGGGCAGATGTGCTCAGGCCACTTTCTTCATTTAGTGTCCCAGCATATTTTCTTCTAAGATTGTTAGGCTAAAATCTGTCCAAAATGATGAGAATGATTTGGAATTTGGCAATGCAATATTTTCACATTCTCCTAGAAATCCTGTCATAGGATTTTTGGTTCTATAGAAAAACAACTTTAAGCATTATTTATGAAATCAGTACTATAACATTTGAATGAATATTTTTAGTAGTCTCAGTTATTTAGAATGAGTAGTGTTCTTCAAGTTTTTAAGCTTTTGAGTTCCCTTTTCCTGTCCGTCTTTCCCACTTGCTGGGATCTGTCCCATGTTCACCTGTATCCTTTTTCTCTCGTCTTGCTTTCTCCAGCCTAGTATTGGTGAAGAAATTCATACAGCTATGAGTGCCAGCATATAGGTATCTCCTTAAATAACTTCAGCCATTGCTCTTTTTAAACCTCCAATTTTCTTTCCAATCACTCTACCTCAGTACTGCTGCCCCTCTCTGAACATATGAGTCTGTCTCCTTAATTACAAAAGAAATAGAGACCCAATAAGTAGAACTGTCTCAAATTTTTTATCTACTTCTGGTTATTTCCATTTAACTAAAATCTTTGACGTCTCCCCTCCAATCTCCAGGGAAGGACTAGCCTCCCTTCTAGCCCTGGGTTAGGTTTCTCCTGTTTTCTGCTTATTTCTTCACTCATTCTGTACTCTCATGTTTGGGGGTGAGAAAGAAAAATCCTAATGAATCTAGTTTTTTGAAGGACCTTCTTCTCATAAATTACATGTTCTCTTGTGAATCTTCAGTATCTCCTCCATTTGCCTTTGTCCCTTTTTTTCCAATACCTTTGCAGATATAAAGGAGAAAGGAATTAGATCAATGGTCTCAACTAGATAAGTGATCTAGTATTTACAATGAAGTATTTGAATTTATTCATTTAAAATTACCTATGTGCATTGAAAGTGGAGGATCAAAACTGAATTTGGTTTTCCTGGAATGGTGTACTCTAGGAAAATCAGTAAAGCCACTGACGTTTCCATATTCAATGAGTTAACAAATCTTGTTTGCTCACAAACTCTATACCCTATGGAGAAATAGGCTTTATGTGAAAATCTGCCCTACAAATTTTACAATAATTTTGTTAATTTTGTATATGATAAATTATTATATAATGGATGAAATTTTTTCTAGTTCTATAACTTATTGGCAGATTTATTTGATTACTGTTAAAAATTAGCCTGGAATTGTAGGTTTATGTTGTTCAAGGCAGTTGTTTGTATTTTGAGGGAAGGATTGAGAGTGTTACACTAGAAAAATATGACTTAACCTAAAATATTGTTAGTACATATCATTACAATTATTATCCTTATTTAGGAATTTGAGATTTTTTTTTTAAAGTAAATGACTAAAACAGCATAAAAGGCAGGATTTCATAGTGGTTGCAAAACAACATTAAATATACCTGGCATCAAGTCTCATTCAAGTATTTAAGTTATTTAATTTGAATCTATGTTTCCTTATCTGTGAAATGGGATTTTGCGATATACTTCCTAGCTTATGACAACTGTCAGAGCATTTTTTTTCTAAGCGTGGGTCAACAATGTAAATGTTCAAAAAAGAGATATAATAATGTGATGTTCAATATCCAGAAAGCTTGTATATATTAGACAAATAAACAGTTAATAGAATGGCAACATTTTGTTTGTAAACATTTCATTGAACTTAAAGAAGCCTACTGAGTGAGTAGACTATTCATGATCAAGCAAATTGAGTAAATTGATAAGTAAGAATATAATACATATAAAATTATATAAATGACATATATAATTTGTAAATTATATATAATATATATTTATAGTTAATAACAAAATTGTATAAATATGATATGGTGGTTAATGAGGTATACATATGACAGCCTTTTGAAGAATAACTGCACAAGTTGGAATCATTAAGGCAAATACTGATGGCTTTAACTAGATTAAAATTAATATTGGATGTCTGTATTAAGAAAAAATAAAACACCAAAAGTGCAAAACCAAACCAGGAAAATTGTTTGCTTAATTTATTCAAAACAATAATTGCAAAGTCTCTGCAATGCTCACAAACCAGAATGAAAAGTGACAAATGCTCTATGTGTTAAAAGGAGTGAAAAACATTAATAAACATTCCAAAAAGAAAAAAAAAACACTCCAAAGTAAAAAAATACTTAAAAATATAATCAAAATTCAAATTAAAGCAAAAACACTTTACTTGTATTATATTGGCAGAGTTGTTAAGAGGTGACAAAGCATGGAGAAGAAAGATCCTTCTCCTGTACCTATGGTGAGGGGATAATGCGGAGGGCAGTCCTTCAAATAACAAAAACAAAAATAGCAAAGTGTGCTACAGTCGTTAAAATGTCTTTTCATCTACTAATTGTAACTTCATGCAATGTATGCTTAAAATATGTTGAGCCACAGAAACAGCTATTAAAGAATAAAGCTTTTGATTTGTATTTATTATCATGGAAATTTGTGCATGCTACACTGTTAGCTTTTAAAAGATTGAAAATATTTTCAGAATGATCTTTTTATAGGAAATAAGGGCATGCAAACATTGGTTCATGCATTTGTACATACATACAATAGCAATTTATATGTTTGTTTGGGCCTGTATAGCAGACTGTTAACTAACAATAATAATCTCTGAGTGGTAACATGGACGGTTTTAATGTTTAGTAAATCATAGCTTGTATATTATAGTAAATAATACCAGCTTAGGTAAATGAGTAGGTGAGGAAAAAGAATACAAGATACAAATAAATACAAAATATAGTCAATTAATTAATTTTTTTTTTTAGCTTGGTATATAATAGAGGTTGTATTTTAAGTACCAGAGAACAAGGAGCTTAGAGACATTTTAGGATGAAATACTGGGAAAGCCTACAGGAAGCAATTCTGTAAGACTCCTTATAAACATGGAGCTGGTCGAAATGTAAAGTATGACTCCCCCTCCGACGTTTCCTTACACCCGGTTTGGTTTCAGATGTCTTGGCGCTCCCGGCCGCTAGGTGGCACCTGGAGGAGCGCAGGCGTGGTGGTGACGCATGCGCAGTGCCCATAGCTTTAGCCATTGGATCTACACTCGCGCCCATCTGTTCTCACGTGCGCTCCTGTAATCCCGCCATATTCCTCTTTCTCTGGGAGCGGCCGAGCTGATCGGGAGGCCCGAGATGTCTGAGCTGCGGGCAAACAGCACTGTCCCGCACACCGATGCCGAGGATGGGGACCGCGACGCCCCGCAGGCGGAGGTAGGCGGCGGGCCGCCGGAGCCGGTCCAGGCGCAGCCTGAGGAGCCCAGGGAAGTTCCAGTGGCGGCGGCCGGGGCAGCTGGGATGGCGGAGGTCGCCCGACTGGTGGCGGAGGCTGCGGAGGAAGAGGGTCAAGAGGGCTGGCCCGGGAACGGCCCCGGCCTGGCTGCGTTGCCTCATGGCCTTTACCGCGTGTTGAGCGTTTGGGAAATTACTCACCAGTATCGGCAGCTCTACCTGATGGCTGTGGTCAGAATGCAGGAGGCTGAACTCTGCGGGAGATTTGTGGAAGCCGAGTTTGATGACGAGTATCCGTGGAATCCCCCGAGGATTGATTTTGATGTTCTAGCAGGTATAACTCCGACTGCATCTGGAGTGATTGACCCTCTGGTAGAAGAACTCGGTTGTGATAAGTTAATCAGCAGAGAATAGTTTGGTGATGAAACTGCTTCCAGAAGAACCTCTGTTCTCAAGACAGCCTTATGCCAATCCTGGAACTTGGTTTTAAAAAGGCAGTTGTACCCGCATAAGGCAGTGCACAGTTGAGAAAAACAAAGAAGGAAGCTTCTCGTGAAAAATATCAGGAAAGAAAAAAAAAAGTGGAAACTGTTGGGACTCCTGTATTGTTCTTTGGGTTGGTGACTGATGGGGTTTCTTCTCCTTGTGATTGGAAGTGTCTTTCAAAAGTGCTTCACTAAAAAGTGAAGAATGGTTCTATAACATTGAGACTTGATAAAGAAATGTTGCCAGTAATAAAACTCATGATGACGGAAGTGTCAAGTAACAATAGTAGGAATAAGGAGTCAGAGCTGCAGAAAATGTGTTCTCTTCATGTCAGATTCAACAGAAATTTTTAGTGTATAGATTTCGTTTTCTAAGGCAGTTGCAATGACAAACCATGTAAGTGCTGTATATATTACAAAATAAATAATGTTTGAGAACATCTGAAATTGCTGATTCTTTTTTCTTTCATTCAGTTTCTAATTTAAACTTTCCTGGTAAATCTGTTTTTACCCCCGGAAAATAAAATATACAGTGAAAAGTCTTCCATCCATGTCCCTCCACCCAGGACTACTGTAGCCCCCATGTGTGACCACTACCTCTCCTGTCCTGCAGTTTTCCATAGGTACACACAAGCAAATACAAACCTGGGTTTATTTCTTCACAAAAGTTGACATACTTACTGATTTATATTTTAATTTCTGAGTAAGAACATGGCTTGAGGATGCTTCCAAACCACCATATTTCCTCATTCTATTTTTTTTGGGTATCATTAATCTGCAATTACATGTGCAACATTATGTTTACTAGACTCCCCCCATCATCAAGACCCCCAACATACCCCATTACAGTCACTGTCCATCAGCGTAGTAAGATGCTATAGAATCACTACTCGTCTTCTCTGTGTTGCACAGCCCTCCCCATGCACTCCCCCCCACATTATACATGCTAATCATAAGGCCCCCTTTTTCTCCACCCGTATCCCTCCCTTCCCACCCATCCTCCCCAGTCCCTTTCCCTTTGGTAACAGTTCATTCTTGGGTTCTGTGAGTCTTTTTTTGTGGTGTATTTGCCTCGTTTTGGTATTAGAGTGATGTTGGCCTTGTAGAATGAGTTTGGGAGTATTCCCTCCTCTTTTTGGAAAACTTTAAGGAGGATGGGTATTAAGTCTTCACTAAATATGTGGTAAAATTCAGCAGTGAAACCATCTGGTACAGGAATTTTGTTCTTAGGTAGTTTTTTGAGTACCAATTCAATTTCCTTGCTGGTAATTGTCTATTCAGATTTTCTGTTTCTTCCTGGGTCAGCCTTGAAATGTTGTATTTTTCTAGAAAGTTGTCCATTTCTTCTGGGTTATACAGTTTGTTACCATATAATTTTTCATGGTGTTCTCTCATAATTCTTTGTTTTTCTGTGGTGTCCATAGTGACTTTTCCTTTCTCATTTCAGATTATGTTTATCGATGTAGAGTCTCTTTTTCTTGATAAGTCTGGCTTGTCATTTATGTTTTGTTTATTTTCTTGTAGAAGCAGCTCCTGCTTTCATTGATTCTCTCTGTTTTTTTATTCTTCTTGATTTTATTTATTTCTGCTCTAATCTTTATTATGTTCCTCCTTCTACTGACTTTGGGCTTCATTTGTTCTTCTTTTTCTACTTACATTAATTGTATGTTTAGACTGTTCCTTTGGGATTTTTCTTCTTTTCTGTGGTAGGTCTGTATTGCAATATACTTCACTCTTAGCACCACCTTTGCTGGTCTCACAGATCTTGTGGTGTTGAATTATTGTTGTCATTTGCCTCCATATATTGCTTGATCTCTGTTTTTGTTTGGTCACTGAACCATTGATATTTAGGAGCATGTTATTAAGCCTCCACATATTTGCTGGCTTTTTCGTTTTCTTTGTGTAATTTATTTCTAATTTCATACCTTTGTGATCTGAGAAGATCGTTGGTACAAGTTCAATCTTTTTGTATTTTCCTATGGTATTTTTGTGGCCTAGTATGTGATCTATTTTTGAAAATGTTCCATGAGCCCTTGAGAAAAATGCGTATCCTGTTGGTTCTGGATGGAGTGTTCTGTAGACGTCCGTTAGGTCCATCTTTTCTAATACATTGTTCAGACTGTCTCTTTACTTATCTTCTCTCTGGTTGATCTGTCCTTTGAAGTGAGTGGTGTGTTAAAGTCTCCTAAAATGAATGCATTGCATTCTATTTCCCCCTTTTATTCTATTAGTATTTGTTTCACATACGTAGGTGATCTTGTGTTGGATGCGTAGATATTTGTAACAGTTATTTCCTCTTGTTGGACTGACCCCTTTATCATTATGTAATGTCTTTCTTTGTCTCTTGTGACTTTGTTTTGGAGTCTATTTTGTCTGGTACATGTACTGCAACTCCTGCTTTTTTCTCCCTATTAGTTGCATGGAATACCTTTTTCTAACCCTTTACTTTCTGTATTTGTATGTCGTGAGTCTTTTGTAGGCAACATATAGATGTGTCTTGTTTTTTTATTCATTCAGTAACTCTATGTCTTTTGATGGGTGCATTCCAACCATTTACATTTAGGGTGATTATCAATAGGTATGTACTTATGGCCATTGCAGGCTTTAGATTCGTGGTTACCAAAGGTTCAAGGGTATTTCCGTTACTATCTAACAGTCTTATTTAACTCACTTTGTATGCTATTACAAATACAACCTAAAGGTTCGTTTTTTTTCCTTTCCCTCCTTTTTCTTCCTCCACCATTCTTTGTATGCTGTGAATCATATTCTGTACTTTTTGTTTATCCTTTGGGTGACATCTGTTTCATCTTTGGAATAATTCCATCTTATAGGAGTTCCTCCAAATGCACTATAGAGGTGATTTGTGGTAAGGAAATTCTCTCAGCTTTTGCTTTTCTGGAAATTGTTTAATCCCTCCTTCTAATCTAAATGATAATCTTGCCAGGTAGAGTGTTCTTGGTTCAAGGCTCTGTGCTTCATTGCATTAAATATATCATGCCACTCCCTTCTGGCCTGGAAGGTTTTCTGTTGAGAAATCTGATGGTACACTAATGGGTTTTCCTTTGTATGTTATCTTTTTTCTCTCTAGCTGCTTTTAAAAGTCTGTCTTTGTCCTTGATATTTGCCATTTTAATTATATGTCTTGATGTTGTCTTCCTTGGGTCCCTTGTGTGGCTCCATGGATTGAGAGACTATCTCCTTCCCCTATTGGGGCAGTTTTCAGCAATTACCTCATCAAAGACACTTTCTATCCCTTTCTCTCTGTCTTCTGGTATCCCTATAATGCAAGTATTGTTCCACTTGATTGGTCACACATTTCTCTCAATATTCTTTCATTTTTAGAGATTCCTTTTTCTCTCTGTGCCTCAGCTTCTCTGTATTCATCTTCTCTAATTTGTATTCCATTTACCATCTCTTCTATTACATTGAGCCTGCTTTTAATCACTCCATTGTATGTTTCATTCAGATACGAATTTCTGAATGATTGATTCTCTGACTTAAATTCATTCCTGAGTTCTTGAATATTTCTCTGTACCTCCATAAGCATGTTTATAATTTTTATTTTAAACTCTCTTTCAGGAAGATTGGTGAATTCAGTTTCATTTGGCCCTTTTTCTGGGGTTTGTGAGATTTTGGTTTGAACCATATTCTTTTGACATTTCATATTTCTGTGTGGTGCCTACTAGTGCCCAGAAGCTCCAGTCTCTGGAGCTGCTCAGCCCTTAGAGTGAGGTTGTGGGTCATAGGGGAGCAGAACTGGTGCCTGGATTGAGGAAAGATCTGTTTCCTGATTCCCGTCTACAGTGCCTGTCTCCAGTGTCAGAGCCAAGCCTCTGTGCTTTGTGTCTCTAGTTGTTGTCAGCGGCACCTCCCTCTGGCTGGCCTGATGCCAGCACAGTGACTCCCTGTTTGCGAACCAGTGCTGGCAGGCTAGGAGGAAGGCACAGTAGGCTGCATGTCACAGTGGGGGGCTTTGGATCTGAGTAGCCAGCCAGGGGGTTGGAGCACTTGAAGCTCCTCAGAGTTCCCACCCAGCTGGGCAGTGCGCATCCAGTCAACCTTTTCCAGCTCTCCCTTCTCCCGCGCAGCAAGGTCTGTGCAAACCCCCACCCCTTCAGCAGCCCTCTTGCTGCTAGGAAGCCTCTCAGACCACGCACCTTTCCTCTGTCCCAGAGTGTTCAGATGTAGATCCTGTCCTCCACAAACCGCCAGAATCTCAGTCTCTCAAGCACTTCACCTGTCTGAGCTCCCCAATGTCCAGAGCACCACACAGTGTAGGTTTGTGCTCCCAAAACAGACCTCCAGGGCTCAGTGTTCAGCAGTCCCAGGCTTCCACTATCTCTCCCGCTCCATTTGTCTTCCTCTGGCTGGTGCGCAGGGGTGGGGGATGGGCTTGGGTCCCGCTGGATCAAGGCTTTTGTACGTTACCCTGTTTCCTGATGTCTGCTCTCTTCGTGAGGTCTGTGTGCAGTCTGGTTCAGCCTTCTTTCCTGTTGCTGTTTTAGGATTAGTTGTATCAGTTAACTACATTTTTATACTATTTGTGGTTTTGGGAGGAGTTCTCTGTCTCACCTCTCATGCCACCATATTGAATCATCTGCCTTTCTCCTTTTTTATGGAAACATGCCTCAATCTCTTCTATTAAAAAAGAAAAAGGAGCATTGTTCTCCATTTTTTTCTAAGTTCCATACTTTTATTTTCCTCACATATAAGGTGGATAAATTTCTCCCATCTCATTTGATGACTCTACAGTTATTTCCACTTTCTTGAAAAAGTTCTTTTCTCTATTGCCACTACTCAGATTCCTGTGTCTCCTTTTCCCATGTTCTAGTTACTGTGTATTTCCTTCTTCCCTCTATATACTATCCTTTAAAAGTCATATTTTGATCTTGTATATACATTGTAGCAACCAAATCTTTAAATTCTATTGAAGCTTTTGAGAGTTCCAAACCGATATATATTCAGTTGCCTGCTGCATATTTATACATGGATCTCTCAAAAACACCCCTAATTGAACCAATAGAAACAAACTCAACAATGTTGCTCTACATTTGTCTTTATCCTGTATTTTCTATATTAGCGTGTCCTTTGTTTAATTGAAGAATTCTCTCACTCATCTTCATATTTCCCCTCATTCACTGTATCTAATAGTACATGAAATGCTGTTGTCCATACTTACAATTTTTGTCCATAATTAGAACTTTTGTTGAGCTAGTTTCCTGTAGTTGGTCTGCCCTCCTTTTCCTTTCTCCTCAGCTACTGACCTAGTTCAAATCCTCCTCATTTCTTATCACTTACCTAGACCCACCTTCTCACTTTCTGTTTTCCCTCAGCCACTGTCCACTTGCCTGCCAGAGAAATTATTGTATCATGTTCATACACACTTAATTGATCTCATTACTCTCTAACTTAAGGTTTTTCCATTACCTCCGCATTATTTTGAGAACACAATGGAAATACTTCAGAATGCTATTTAAGACCATTGGGTTGGTCCATCTGTCTGCCCAAAGTTCTTTTCTACAGTTCCTACCCCCATTCCGTATCATTTGTGTGGACTCTAACCATTTAAACTACTTGCATTTGTGGGCTATGCCATGTTTATAGGCCCTCTGCCTTTATTTTTACTTTGTCTCCTCAATTTTGTCAAACTCCACTTGTCTTTCAAATTTCACTTCAAGTAGCTATTATTCATGAAGGCTGCCTTCCTGAAACATATCCTACTGATAGCATTCAGGACACACTACCCAAAATATGGCAGCTGGCATATTGAATATTTTAAGCTGAGGGAGTTTGAGAAATGGCACATTCAGGAAGGACTTTGTGACCTTCCCCTCGTGTGTTCCCCTTCTTGTTCCTATAGGAAAGGAGCATCCTTATATCCAAAGGCAAGGGCTTGAGGAATCTAAGTCAGTGGACTTTAAGTTTCCTGTAGTTTGCTACACTTAACTCTTGGTCCTGTCGCATCTTTCCATGACTTGCCCCTTTTCCAAACCCAGCAGAGGACATGGATGTTTAACCGTTTCTTTGGGTCTGCCATTTCCTTATGAAGACTCCCACGTCATGTAAAACTCAACATAAAATAAATTTGTAGGCTTTTTGCTTGTTAATGTCTTTCAGTGGCCTCAAGTCAAGAACTTCAAAGGGTAGAAGAAAAAGATATTTTTCCTCTACCTCACCAACATGGTCTTGTCCCCCTCTCCCTCTCTCCTGCCAGATCCAGTTTTAAGCCCAGTCAGATTTTGAGACATCTGTCCTTCATTTCTGCATCTCCAGCTTTAATGTCTTTAACAGATACTAGTTCTTGCTGAATGGATAAGCAAAGAGGAGACAAAGATTCTTCCTTGTGGAGTGCTATGTCAGTTTCTTATTATATCTTTTTTAACTTTCTCCAAAATTTTATAGTACCTTGTGTAGAAATTTAATAAAATAGTGCTTAGAGATTATGCACTTGTGCTTGACAGTTTTCCTTAGAAGAAGAGTGATAAAAGATTTGCATATGTGACGGTCTTCCCGTGTGTAATTTTTCACTTTCATGATGAGTGGGATTGGGATCTTTGCTTATTTTGTAGCCATTGCAATCTTATAATTCCAGGTTTGAACATCAGAGGGCTTCAGCATTTCAGGAAAGCCAGGTTTTACCCCATATGTGTGAAAAATAATCCTTGCTGCTGTAAAGCATTCTTGACAGCTGTCAGTGGGGCAGAGGAGACTGGACGGGTCCTAAATTCCCTTTCAGCTCAAAGGGGTTCACCTCAGTGAACCCTGGCAGTGACAGTACACTCAGAATGCATATTTTGGATCAATTTAGCATAAATCAGAATTCAAGCATGAGCTCCTTTTTTTTTTTTTTTTTTTTTTTTATATCCATTCTTTGTCTCTCAGTTTCCCAGCTTAAAGGGATGTATAACCCTTCTTACTATTTGTCAGTGTTAAGAATAATATGTGAGAAGAGATGATTCATATTATCTGTGTTTTAGGACTTGTTCAGTAATGGTTTGGGAAATGATGGTTTGATCTGAATTATAAAATGGTGTCAGTGGTCTTTGATGCTTGTTTTCTACTGTAATTTATTCTTAATGTAAAAATGGAACAAAACTATATATAATAGTAATAGGACGATTATGTTTTTTCAATATATGTACCAGCTCATATGCAGCACAAAGTGGAATATTAGAATGGCATGGTGTGCTCATTCTATAAATTTTCTCTACTTTATACCCTCATCTCATTTATTTTTTTGTTTCTTGATATTCATTTACCTTCTTAAAAATTCATATTTATACAGCATGTTTCAATAAATATTATTCCTTATTTTCATTTGTCTGACAGTATCCCTGGCTTATGATGGATTTCATTTACTATGTAGTTTGTTCCCCATGCAAATAAAGCCTCTAGTTTCCTCTCAAATATTTCATCATTTTTTTATGACTGACTTTCAGTTTTCCTTCTTTCTCTTTATCAGCTCATTATTATTTTATATGATCTCTTACATCTCCTTTAAATCCCTTTTCCATGTAATACAATACTGTTTTCCACATTTAATTTTTTATTATGTTATATTTAAATTTATCTGAAAAAGAATTGGTTACTTTGTAGTGCTTTTGGAATTCTTATATCTAAGGAAAAGAAGACAAACAAATCTGCATGCTTAAAGCACTTATAAGATACAGAAGTCATTTTCAAAAGAGCACTTTATTACAGCACTCTTAGAGGTGGTCTGTTAAAGGAGGGAAAACATTTAGTACTAACAAAATCTGAAAAAGTAGAATAATTAAGGAACAGATAGATACACATACCATATGTATATGGAGAATAAAATCCAAATATGAATTATTTCTTATCATTCTTACTAGTTTTTATATTTGCATGGGCAATAAAGATTACACACTTTAGGTCTTTTTACAACATGAAGATGAATAAATGAAGAATATGAAGGGATTCAAGTTGAATTATATTGATTTGAATGGGGGAAAGTTGTGTGATACTTTGTTCTCTCCAATACCAGGAGAAAGTAAGCTAGACCATTGATTGAAGATTTTCTAAAGTGTCTTGATATCCATAGCTTATATTTTAAGATCTCCATTGCATTAATGTATGTACATGAAAAGGATTTGAACTGAAATCCTTCAGTCATAATTCAATGCTCAATAAAATCATTCCTTGAAAACTTAATGCCTAAGTCCAGTAATTCAAATCTGAGAATTCTAGCTAAGGAAATGAAATATTTTTAAGCTTTATGCACTAATACTTATTGCATTATAAGTTCTAGTGTTTAAAGTGGATGATATGCTAACTATCTCTAAAAGGAGGATGGTCACAAGTGTATTATGGGATGTAGAGATAATGGAATATTAAATGTCCGTTAAAATACATGTTATGAAATATTTGTAATAGCATGGGATATTAACATCTGATTGTAAAAAGATATGGATTTACATAATATGCTTTCAACTTTAAGAGAGAATTTTAAAAAAGTAAATAGAAATACATCAAAATGATAATAGTAGTTATCCTTGGTTAATGGAATTATGAGAGATTTAAAAATATTTCTCATACTTCCTTGCATTTTTTTGAAGATTCTACATTTAGCATACTGTTAGTATTATATTCACAAGATTTATAAACTTACAAAGATTAGTTTAGGATATCCTAATTGGTAACTAAATTTAATAGAATTCTCATAAAAATTAAGCAAACATTTACCCTCATATTGGACAAGACATCCGTGTCTTTTTCTCTTTTGGATTTGGGTGTATTTCAGCATCCTAAGAGGTTAGTTTTATAATTTGGAGGTGGGGTTGAAGAGGATGCACAGGAAGAGCTAGGAAAGAGAAGAAAGATTTAAATGCAATTTAATGAATTATCTTCATCATGGATAAAGAATGTCAGTCTCTGACCTTAATTTGCTAGAAATCTGATAGAACATTGTTTTCTGTTATCTGCAGTATCAAGTCATGGGTGGATAAGATGCAAGAGGACCTTGTCACACTGGCAAAAACAGCAAGTGGAGTCAATCAGCTTGTTGATGTGAGTAAAATCCCAAGAAACTTGTTAATCTTGAATTTGAATGCAGTTCTATTTTACAGGGAAGTGTATTGCTATATTATAAATATGACATGATTTTTCATGTGAATCTGGTAGTGAAATTTTGAGAGTGATCTTTGGTGCTGCTAGTTATTGTGAACAAGAACTGCCATCCCTAATGATTAATCAAGTGTTCTCACCACACTTAACAGTTCACATACAGCCTTCCCTTAGATGAGCTCATGTGAAGTGTGGACTGCTCTACAGTTCAAATTGTGATGCCATGTTTCCATTCTTCAGAGTATATTTTAGAATCTTTCACATAGTGGTCACTTTAAGTCTTGTGATGAATTGTTTTGAACATCCTCAGTGGGAAGGCATCTTCATTCTTTGAGGGTAGGTTTATTTTAAAAATTAATTAAAAAGTGTTTACAGTCATGTCTGGAGAGTAGAGTGAGTCACTGAGATGGGTAAAAATTTTTGTGCAAGGAAAGGAGACACTATAAAGTAACAGTTCTTAAGGTTTTTGAGATGACCATTCCATGAATTTTGAAATTTGTAGCAACGTATAAATATTTATATAGCATCTTAAATATATTTTTTTCATTGGATAAGAGCATTTACATATATGGATTCCATAGTGTTTATTGAAAATTAAATATCATTTTCTAGAGTCTTACTACTTCCATTTCAAGGTAAGTAATACAACAATTTGAAAGTACTTTAATGTTGTATTGTTAGTGATGCATGTAGCCTTTTATAGTCCAGAAATATGAGGGGTTTATGAGGTGAAATGGTATATAAAGGCAGAACTTTAATGTTGTATTGTTAGTTATGCATGCAGCCTTTTATAGTCCAAAAATGAGGGGTTTATGAGGTGAAATGGTATATAAAAGCAGTTTCATGTATGGTATGTGAATATTTACCATGTGAATATTTATATATGAGTATTTCTCTGGGAGAAACTAGAATGCATGGATACTTTATGTATTAATAGAACTTCATAAAGAAACCTTGTTAAGCAAATACTTCCAAATATTCCAGAATCTGTTTGTGAAATAGTTGTAGTTTTTAAACCAATAGGGTGTTGAATAAACATAAATATCTATGACATGAGATAAGGACCAGATTTGGAAATGCAGTGTTCATTGTGAGTAACAATGACCAGATTTAATCAGCACTGACTGAGCGCATCACATGTCCCGATCCTGTGTGGGCTCCTGAGGACTGACGGAGACAGAGTTCCTCTCCTCAGAGTACTAACTCTACTAATCAGAAGTCTCCATTACCGAGGGTGCAGGATGCCTTATAGCTGCTGTGAGCTGCTGCCTGGGATTGGCAGTGGTGCTCTGTGGGACAATGTAGTAGATGGAATGTGTGTAGGATGATAGTGAGCTGCTAAAAGCAATGGGGTTTGTGTAAAGAGGGAGAAGAAATGAGAACTGACAGATTTTGGTTAAAAGTTGTAAGGCTCTCTTTAATGACAGACTGAGATTAAAAATAAATTGTGCTTGGGAGCTTCCCTTCACTTCTCTAGTGCGTCTCCAGCCTCAAAAACCACTTTCTTGGCTGCCTTCACTATTACTTTTGGTGTTACTGTTTGAACACTGCCTCATCAAATCTGCTTTTTGCAGTGTATCATTAAGGATAAAAGTTTACCTGATTTCCACTATGCTTGATGAAATAAAGATCACTAAGAAGAGTAAATATTGATGACTGAATAAATGACCTCATCTCATTTAGGACAACACAGTAGAGTGGACAGAATGAAAGAAAATCCTCACAATATTCTTGTTTATAGGACAAATACCTAATTATAGTGACAGACAAAAAAGTACAAATAAAAGAATTATATATATTGTGTAACTAGGGAGGGAGAGAGAGCAGAATTTATAATTGGAAAAGGAATTTAAGTATTAGGGCGTAAGGTAAGTGTTAATTTACATGGACGAGTGATTCCATATTCCTTTCCTTTTGCCAGAGCAGGTCCATGATGAGGGCCGAAGGGATGCATTTCTTTTTGGCCATGGGAGCTTTTATAAGGTGCGGACTGTTTGAAGGATACCAGCATTGAGAGTGAACTTAGTCCTGAGATTGGGGTATTGGATGCATGGTGAGGATCAAAAGTTGAATAAAGAGAGGAATTTAGCAGGATTCTGGGTTGAAATTCAAAATCGTAGAAATAACTCTTCCCAAATTATTTAATGGAATTGTTTTTACTGGCATCGTAAGGTACAACTAGCTTTTCACCTGAAGGCTCAGAAGCAGCTGCAATAAGGCAGCAAAGCTAAAATAAAACATCTTTGCAATTTCATGAAATTTGCTTTATGATGTCATAATATATTAGCTCAGGGAAGGTTGCTACATATTATTGAATAAATTCAATACTTTACAAGTGAGCACTTTTGCCCAGGTAACCCATGTAACTTCTCTTCACAATGAAGAGTGAAGAGGCCTACATACTACTACCCAGTAGTACCTGATGCATTTGAGTTCCAAGTTCTCTCTACTGAGTTACTCCATAGTCTCATCATGTATATTGGGGAATCACATATGTCCAGCAGTCATACATGCTTATCCACAAGGTAAATGAAATAATCTAGAGAAAAAAGTACAATCAGAGAAAAGAGATAATGGATTATAATTTTTTAGTATATTTCATACATTAGAACCTTTTAAATACAACTGAAGGGCATTTTTTTTCCATTAGTTCAAGCACTGTATTAAGCTCTTTATGTGCATTATCTTAATACACATTTTCTAAGTGAACATCATCTTTCTTATGCATGGAGAAATTGTTTGCAAGGTTAAATTTCTGTTGTAGGCCAGCAGAACTAAGAATCTTCTCTGCTTCAGAATGTATGTTGATGTTTTGCCTTTTTGTATTGACACTTGTGTTTTCAGAAGGTAAGTAGATCCCCAGTTAGGTACAAAGTGAATATATCTATTTATACTACTGATCTTTTTATAAAAGATATGTTACAGGATGCCAGAGCTCTCTCAACCAGGCATCCATTTATAAACCTTTACATTTGAATTTCTTTATGAAAGAAAAATGTAGAAGGGAATTCTAACTTGCAAATTTACATGCTGAATTTAAAACCTTTCCATCTTTGTATGCCAGAAATGGTATTGTGTGTATTCATTCAGAAAATTGCTAAGAATGGTACACAAAGAGAGTTTTCCCTCATTTTTTTCTTCATGGTCTTCTGGCTGAAGAAAATAACCTTACTGAAATATTATAGCATATCCTCTTAAAAAAATCTTTGTACAATTGAGAGCTCTGTGATCTGGCCAAGATGTTTAACCTCATGGAGCTGTTGAGATTGATGACATAATCTGTCTGAAATAATTTCTGGCCCATAACCAGAACTCAAAAAATGTCCTTTGTTCTATTTTGTTAGCTGGGGTACAGGCTAAGTCAGTGTGACAGACAGGTAACCATGTAGTTTTCTCTCACATACTAGTCAGAGGTTAGCAGTGTAGTGTCAGTGGTGTGGCTCTGCAATCCTCAGCATGGAGCTGCCATTCCTGGGTCCAATACAAAAATTCCAGTTACCATTATTTCCCAGCCACCATGTAAAGGGGTAGAGAGTAGGAGAGCAGACAGCCAGTCACTTGAAGGGTAAGATGTGCTCACATGCTAGTGGTCAGCACATGTTCTCATGGCCACATCTAACTAGAAAGGAGTCAGAGAAATGGGGTCTTCAGCTGAGTACTCATAAGCCTATTCTATCACAGTGGAAGAGGGTAGAGTGTAGAACAACTAGCAGTCCTCCACTGATAGGTATTATTTGAATACTGTCCTTTTATAATCTATATCTAATAATGTATTAAAGATGTAGTAACACAAATGGAAGCTGCATTTGTATATTTAACCATTATCAAAAGAAAATCATAGATCAAGAAAAAATAGAAATTTGAATTATAGACGATTTTGAAGATATTTTATTTTTATTGGATAAATTTGACATTGTGTCAGTTTAATGTGTACATTGCATTACTTTGATACATTTATATATTGTAATCTAACATTATTGTCTGTATTCAGTGAACTGTACATTAAATATCTGTGGTTATTTTAGTACTTGTTGCAAGTTAGTACTGTTAAACATCAACCTTATCTCCTATGCTTAACCTCTGGTAATCACTGTTTTACTCTCTTCTTTCTCTTTTTTTAGATTCCACATGTAAGTGGTACCTTATAGTATTTACTTGTTTCTCTTTCTGGCTTATCTCACTTAGCACACACAGTGTGCTGAGGGTCATTCTGTGCTGTCTTAATTGGCAGGATATCCTCCTTTCTTGTGGCTAAGTAATATTCCACTGTGTATATATACCAGATCTTACTGTATCCATTCATTGGTTCCTTGGCATTTGGGTTGTTCCCATTTCTTGCCTGTTGTGAATTGTGCCACAGAAAACATTGGGATGCAGCTCTTACTGAATACCTGTTTCATTTCTTTTGGTTATATTCCCAAAGGTGGAATTGCTGGATATGTGGTAGCTCTGTTTTTAATTTTTTGAGGAACCTTCATATTGTTTTCCAGAGTGGCCTCACCAATTTACATTTGCACCAACAGTGTGTGTTTCCTTTTCACCACATCCTTGCCATCCTCTTCTTGATGATAGCCATTCTGACAAGTGGAAGGTGATATCTTGTGGTTTTTATTTGCATTTACTGATGACTAGTGTCATTGAGCATCTTCTCATGTGCTTCTTGGCCATTTTGAAGTCTCATTTGGAAAAAATGTCTGTTCTGCCTCATTTTTAATTTTTTTTTGTTACCGAGTTGTGTTCTTCTTTTTTTATTTTGGTATCACTAATGTACAATTACATGAGTAACATTATGGTTGATAGACTACCCCCATTATCAAGTCCCCACCACATACCCCATTATAGTCACTGTCCATCAGAATAGTAAGATGCTATAGAATCACTACTTGTTTTCTCTGTGTTATACTGCCTTCCCCGTGCCCCCAACCCCACATTATGTGTACTAATCATAATGCCCCCCTTTCCCTCTTATCCTTCCCTTTCCAACCACCCTCCCCAGTCCCTTTCCCTGTGGTAACTGTTAGCCCATTCTTGCGTTCTGTGAGTCAGCTGCTGTTTTGTTCCTTCAGTTTTTGCTTTGTTCTTATACTCCACAGATGAGTGAAATCATTTGATACCAGACTTTCTCTGCCTGGCTTATTACACTGAGGGATTTTGCGATACACTTCCTAGCTTATGACAAGTGTCAGAGCATTTTTTTTTGAGTGTGGGTCAACAATGTAAATGTTCAAAAAAGATATAATAATGATGTTCAATATCCAGAAAGCTTGTATATATTAGACATAAATAAACAATAGAATGGCAACATTTTGTTTGTAAACATTTCATTGAACTTAAAGAAACCTACTGAGTGAGTAGACTATTCATGATCAAGCAAATTGCAGAAATTGATAAGAATATGATACATATAAAATTATATAAATGACATATTTATATATAATTTGTAAATTATATATAATATATATTTATAGTTAATAACAAAATTAATTGTATAAATATGGTATGGTCGTAAGTGGAGTATACATATGAAAGCCTTTTGAAGAATAACTGCGCAAGTTGGAACCATTAATGCAAATATTGATGGCTTTAACTTGATAAAAATTAATATTGGATATCTCTATTAAAAAAAATAAAACACCAACAGTGCAAAACCAAACCAGGAAAATTGTTTAATTTATTCAAAACAATAATTGCAAAGTCTCTGCAATGCTCACAAACCAGAATGAAAAGTATGTATTAAAAGGAGTGAAAAACATTAATAAACATTCCAAAAAGAAAAAAAAAAGCACTCCAAAGTAAAAAAATTCTTAAAAATATAATCAAAATTCAAATTAAAGCAAAAACACTTTACTTGTATTATATTGGCAGAGTTGTTAAGAGGTGACAAAGCATGCAGAAGAAAGATCCTCCTCCTGTACCTACGGTGAGGGGATAATGCGGAGGGCAGCCTTTCAAATAAAAACAAAAATAGCAAAGTGTGCTACAGTCGTTAAAATGTCTTTTCATCTACTAATTGTAACTTCATGCAATGTATGCTTAAAATATGTTGAGCCACAGAAACAGCTATTAAAGAATAAAGCTTTTGATTTGTATTTATTATCATGGAAATTTGTGCATGCTACACTGTTAGCTTTTAAAAGATTGAAAATATTTTCAGAATGATCTTTTTATAGGAAATAAGGGCATGCAAACATTGGTTCATGCATTTGTACATACATACAATAGCAATTTATATGTTTGTTTGGGCCTGTATAGCAGACTGTTAACTAACAATAATAATCTCTGAGTGGTAACATGGACGGTTTTAATGTTTAGTAAATCATAGCTTGTATATTATAGTAAATAATACCAGCTTAGGTAAATGAGTAGGTGAGGAAAAAGAATACAAGATACAAATAAATACAAAATATAGTCAATTAATTAATTTTTTTTTTAGCTTGGTATATATTAGAGGTTGTATTTTAAGTACCAGAGAACAAGGAGCTTAGAGACATTTTAGGATGAAATACTGGGAAAGCCTACAGGAAGCAATTCTGTAAGACTCCTTATAAACATGGAGCTGGTCGAAATGTAAAGTATGACTCCCCCTCCGACGTTTCCTTACACCCGGTTCGGTTTCAGATGTCTTGGCGCTCCCGGCCGCTAGGTGGCACCTGGAGGAGCGCAGGCGTGTGGTGACGCATGCGCAGTGCCCATAGCTTTAGCCATTGGATCTACACTCGCGCCCATCTGTTCTCACGTGCGCTCCTGTAATCCCGCCATATTCCTCTTTCTCTGGGAGCGGCCGAGCTGATCGGGAGGCCCGAGATGTCTGAGCTGCGGGCAAACAGCACTGTCCCGCACACCGATGCCGAGGATGGGGACCGCGACGCCCCGCAGGCGGAGGTAGGCGGCGGGCCGCCGGAGCCGGTCCAGGCGCAGCCTGAGGAGCCCAGGGAAGGTCCGATGGCGGCGGCCAGGGAAGTTCCAGTGGCGGCGGCCGGGGCAGCTGGGATGGCGGAGGTCGCCCGACTGGTGGCGGAGCCTGCGGAGGAAGAGGGTCAAGAGGGCTGGCCCGGGAACGGCCCCGGCCTGGCTGCGTTGCCTCATGGCCTTTACCGCGTGTTGAGCGTTTGGGAAATTACTCACCAGTATCGGCAGCTCTACCTGATGGCTGTGGTCAGAATGCAGGAGGCTGAACTCTGCGGGAGATTTGTGGAAGCCGAGTTTGATGACGAGTATCCGTGGAATCCCCCGAGGATTGATTTTGATGTTCTAGCAGGTATAACTCCGACTGCATCTGCAGTGATTGACCCTCTGGTAGAAGAACTCGGTTGTGATAAGTTAATCAGCAGAGAATAGTTTGGTGATGAAACTGCTTCCAGAAGAACCTCTGTACTCAAGACAGCCTTATGCCAATCCTGGAACTTGGTTTTAAAAAGGCAGTTGTACGCGCATAAGGCAGTGCACAGTTGAGAAAAACAAAGAAGGAAGCTTCTCGTGAAAAATATCAGGAAAGAAAAAAAAAGTGGAAACTGTTGGGACTCCTGTATTGTTCTTTGGGTTGGTGACTGATGGGGTTTCTTCTCCTTGTGATTGGAAGTGTCTTTCAAAATTGCTTCACTAAAAAGTGAAGAATGGTTCTCTAATTTGAGACTTGATAAAGAAATGTTGCCAGTAATAAAACTCATGATGATGGAAGTGTCAAGTAACAATAGTAGGAATAAGGAGTCAGAGCTGCGTTATCAGACTGGAGGACATGAGCGAACCTGAAATTGTCAGAAAATGTGTTCTCTTCATGTCAGATTCAACAGAAATTTTTAGTGTATAGATTTGGCAGTTGCAATGACAAACCATGTAAGTGCTGTTTATATTACAAAATAAATAATGTTTGAGAACATCTGAAATTGCTGATTCTTTTTTCTTTCATTCAATTTCTAATTTAAACTTTGCTGGTAAATCTATTCACAGGCCCCGCCCCCCCCAAATAAAATATGCGGTGAAAAGTCTTCCATATGTGTCCCTCCACCCAGGACTGCTGCAGGCCCCATCTGTGACCACTGCCTCTCCTGTGCTTCAGTTTTCCATAGGTACACACGAGCAAATACAAACCTGAGTTTATTTCTTCACAAAAGTTGACATACTCACTGATTTATATTTTAGTTTCTGAGTAAGAACATGGCTTGAAGATGCTTCCAAACCACCACATTTCCTCATTCTATTTTTTTTTGGTATCATTAATCTACAATTACATGAGGAACATTATGTTTACTAGACTCCCCCATTATCAAGTCTCCACCACATACCCCATTACAGTCACTGTCCATCAGCATAGTAAGATGCTATAGAATCAGTACTTGTCTTTTCTGTGTTGCACAGCCCTTCCCGTGCCCCCTCCACTACATTATGTCTGCTAATAATAATGTCCCCTTTTTTTTCCACTTATCCCTCCCTTCCCACTCCCTTTTCCTTTGGTAACTGTTAGTCCATTCTTGGGTTCTGTGAGTCTGCTTCTGTTTTGTTCCTTCAGTTTTTTCCTTTATTCTTAAGCTCCAAAGATGAGTGAAATTATTTGATACTTGTCTTTTTCTGCCTGGCTTATTTCAGTGAGCATAATACCCTCTAGCTCCATCTATTTGTTGCAAATAGTAGGATTTGTTTTCTTCTTATGGCTGAATACTATTCCATTGTGTATATGTACCACATCTTCTTTATCCATTCATCTACTGATGGACACTTAGGTGCTTCCATTTCTTGGCTATTATAGATAGTGCTGCGATAAACATAGGGGTGTTAGGGATAGAATTCCTGGGTCAAATGGTATTTCCATTTTTAGTTTTTTGATGAACCTCTATACTGATTTCCACAATGGTTGAACTAATTTGAAACCATCATTTATTTTTCTATAAAACGTATGTCTGAATCTGCAAAAAATTGTATGAAAAGAAAACAGAACTTCGCATGTGTTGGAAATCCTCAGTTGTTGCCCTTGACTGACCATGCGCTGGAGAAAGCAAACCACAACGATGTGAGCAAATTACAATCATCTGCAAGTTTTGTTGTCTCCTTTTTGCACTGTTTTCTCCAAGCCTCCCCCTTTCCCTTTAAGAATCTAAGTGTTCCATAGCCCCCTCTATTTTATAAAAGGAAGGGATTGATGGTTATCATTTACGCTTGAAGTTATTTAGTAACTATTTTATCTCGAATCAGAACATATTTGGTATTAGGAGGCAGTTGTGAAGATTATATTTTGAAAGACGTAGTTTCCAAATATGTTCTTTCTCCTGGTGGGCGACAGATGTGTAGATGGGAGCAGCAGACATGGGCTGAGGGAAGGCAAACGATGTGCCGAGGGCACAGAATTTAAGGAGACACTCTTTCTGAGGGTCATAAACCTGCTTGGTTCTCAGAGTGAGTGAATAGCTCCTGAAAAGTGTGCCCTTTCTTGCACACTTGCCTCACCCTGTTCCCCGCTTGTAGCCCAGGGACAGTAAAGGCCTGATCTGCTCTGCGTTTTCTGTTCTCCATGGCCGGAGGCAGAGATTTTTACAGCCTTTGGACATTACCTAATCTCACACCTCTGCTGCATCTTCTTCTCTCTTCCTTCCCCTCCCACTACAATGTCAGATCTTTCTTACAGCTTTTCTGGGTGTTTTTTAGGCTTCCCAGCCTCAGCTTGCATCTATGTGAGGCTCAATGGCTGTTCCTATAGTGTTATTGACATAATGCGTTTTGAGATCTTCACCCTCATTATCTGCCATCACTCCATATTTACCCTCTATTTCAGTTCTAATGTTGTGTTGAATATTCTGATAACAGAGGATATTAGGGGAATCCAAACTCTTTGTTAACAGAGATGATTGTATTCCTCTAGCTGCTGTGTCAGGCTAGAACATGCTAGCAGAGTTAAGAAACTCCTTGGATTAATTTTTTTTTTTCCTGGAAGTTTATTTTGGAAGATGTAATAATTCTGCAATGGCACCATCATAGAACTTCCTGGCTTTTGATTCACCATTATGATTTTGTTAGTTAAAATTATGTTAAAATTGATACCTTTGTATTTCACTAAGTGCTCAAAATCTAAGTATGGAATGTGTCTAAACACTGAGCACTCTGTCTTCTTGATTAAGTTAGTATTTACGTAAGTGTTTCAAGTGAAGAATTTCTTTTCATTAGTGCTCATGGGATTAACTGATGCTTTTCTTTGACACTGTGGTCATGACATGTAAATAGAATACTCATTTTCTATGTGGTGGAGAGGTTAATATATTAATCTATTTACAAAATAGATACTTAAAATCAGAGCATAATTAATCATGGTGATTCTGACTAGGGAATGAACAAGATGGAGAGTCAACAACAAAGGTTCAGAATCTTTTCTAGAAAATGCTGCTAAGTAACTGGATGAAACTATATTCCCTTTACCTGCTTTTCAAGTGAGATAGATAAATAACACTCTTCCTTCCTTACAGGAATGTTATAGGGATAAATGGGGATATAAAATGAATGTGAAAGCAGTAATAGCTGCTATGAAAGAGTTAAATGCTTATTATAATGTAGCTTTACATTCCTTTACAGAAGTAATATAGTAACTTACAGATACAGCTATTTAGTGTTATTTCACATGTTCTGGTTGTATTCAGTTACCTTATTCCCTCAATGATGAAATGTAACTAAATCAGTAACCGTATTTCCATAATTATGTAGGCAACTTGAGGTTTTCATTATTTTAGAAGACAAAAAACACTTTCCAAGTAGAAAGGAATCTATTTTTATTTATTTATTTACTTATTTTTTATTAAGGTATCATTAATACACACTCTTATGAAAGTTTCACATGAAAAACGTTGTGGTTACTACATTCACCCATATTATCAGGTCCACACCATACCCCATTGAAGTTACTGTCCATCAGTGTAGTAAGATGTCACAGAGTCACTACTTGTCTTCTCTGTGCTATACGGTCTTCCCTGTGACCCCCCCCACCCCAACACCATGTGTGCCAATCATTAATACCCCACAATCCCCTTCTCCCTCCCTCCCCACCCACCCTCCCTTTGGTAAGCGCTAGTCCCTTCTTGGAGTCTGTGAATCTGATGCTGTTTTGTTCCTTCAGTTTTGCTTCATTGTTATACTCCACAAATGAGGGAAATCATTTGGTACTTGTCTTTCTCCACTTGGCTTCTCTCACTGAGCATAATATCCTCCAGCTCCATTCATGTTGTTGTAAATGATAGGATTTTTTCATCATGCTGAATAGAATCCTATTGTGTATATGTACCACCTCTTCTTTATCCATTCATCTACTGATGGACACTTAGGTTGCTTCCATATCTTGGCTACTATAAATAGTGCTGCAGTAAACATAGGGGTGCATATGTCTTTTTGAATCTGAGATTTTGCTTGTTTGGGTAAATTGAAAGGAATCTATTTTAGACTGCCAAATGTACCATCAGTAGAGTGTATGATCCCTTCACTCACCTACTAGAGATTTAAAGTAGGAAGCTATTTTTTTTTAAACAGTAGTTAATTACATTTATTTTCAAAGATACAGAATACATTCTAAGGGGATGTCTGATTTTCTGATAACAGTATTAACAGGGTTCTAAGTGAAGTTCTAGTGGTTCACAAACATTAATAGTGAATGACTATTAAGATGTTTTCTTTTTTAACTTACCACCATTATGAATCAATAGTTAACACTTTCTCAAGTTATACTACTATGTGAAAGATAAATTATTATTTATTGCTTCTCCAAGTAGCAACCTAATGGTTTGGTAATACTAATTACAGAGTGATATATAGTGGCTGTGCACTTTTCTTGTGCAAAGGAGCTTACACAGAGATTGAAGCTAAAAACTCATAAGTGATGCAGCCAACTGTTGTTATCTTTGTCTCTAGAATGAAGATGAATGGCATAGAAGACCATTATTTGCTACTACACACTCTCAGTATGCAACATACAGCTTCTATCTATTTATTTTCCGTGAAGACATCTTTGATGTCTTTATATCTCAAGCAGTGGTTTCAGCCAGGAGCAGTTTTGTTCCTGAGGAGACATTTACCAATGCCTGGAAACATTTTTGATGGTCACAACTGGGGTTAGTGGGTGAGTGGTACTGGCATCAGTGTGTAGAGGCCACACCTACTGCTGAACACCCTTTAGTGCATAAGACGTTACCCATAATGATTATGCAGCCAGATGTCTGCTGTGCTGAGGTTGTGAAGCTGCTCTGAAAGGACTAAACAATTTGAGAAAAGAATAACTGTATGAAATTTAAAAAATGAGTATTAATTGTAAATATCAGCATTGCTGGGTTGCAGTTTTGTTTTAGAAATTTGTTAATAAGTTATGATGGTTAAGGGCAAATTAAACTGATGCTTTCTACAATTTTTTTGTTGGCAGTTGAAATGAGTTTATGTCTTTTGGGGTTAGGAACATGAAACAAGCAGCTCACTAAACCTATGCTTGATTATTTTTTAATTTAGTTTTAATAGAATCTAGTATGATCTCTTCCACTTTTAATTGCATGTGAATTTTTTGGTCAAAATACATAACACAATACATATATAGATAGCTTCAGGTATGCAAAGAGAGAGAGGCTAAGCTATTAGGTAATCTTTGAAGTTAAAACAAAACAAAACCCTAAATGGTAGATTGTATTATATGTATCTTAATGTTTTTCTTATTTTAATTCTAAGTATACTTACAGATAAACTTAGAGTATACCTTATGCGTGAGATGTCTCCAACCTAAGAACTGAGAAGTTCTTTCCATGAATGGTTTTCATGCTCACCTTAGTCTTCGTTATAGTTCAGTGTC